CTAGTCGAATTAGCTTGGGGTCCTCCCTCAGCGCGTTTCACTACTGCTCGTTCACGATGTCCATCTATACTGCTAGAGGCTTCCTGTGTCTCCAGCTTCTTGAGTGCTCGTAGTTCCTCATTGTCAGCATCGAGTTGACGAACAAAATTCTCTTCTTGCTTGAGCGTCGCCTCCCGATCCTTCAGTTGTCCCTGAAGTTCACGCATCTCCTCGAGGTACTCATCATACACTCCTTTAGCTGTCAATCTCCAGTACTCGGCCTCCTTCGATTTCTCGTCCATCGTGCACCGCTCTTCTTGTTTTGCTTCTCTGACCTGGGCTAATTCCAAGATCGCATCTTGACGATGACTACCCTCGATAGCAATCATCTGGTCCTTCTTCAACACGTCGGATTCGTACTGCTTGACGATCTCTTCCTTCTCGCGAAGTAGGCACTCTGCTCTCTTCGATTCTTGCTCCACGAATGTTGTAACGTCGTTCAGTCTCGCCATCAGCTGCTCCCTGGAGTCCTCCATAGAGTACGTCTCGGGGTTTGACGAGTGCATGCTCCAACTGTGATTTTAGACTTTGGACCATCTCCTCCTCGTTGAACTTCTCGATAGATGTAGACGATTCAATACCTCTGATCTGTTGCTGATAAACTGATATTTGTTGTGAAGCCTCACGGTGTGTCTGATTTGCACGTATAGCTGATTCCTGCGCGGCCGACTTCTCGCTTGCCATGTAGGATTTCATCACTGCAATCTCCCGCTTCTGCTCCATAATAGTTCCTTCAGCTTGTCTCATCTGTTGTATTATAACATTCGACTCCATGTCTTTCTTTTCCCCGTACTGATATGCGTTCATTTCCACCTTGCGCATCTGTTGGGCTTCCTCCTCAAACTTGCACCATGCCTCAGCCATGTGGTGTTGGTGGTGACTCACAAGGTGTCCCGACTGCTTGCTGGCAATCTCGCATCGTCTCTCCAGCTCCTGGATCCGGATGGTGCTCCCATAGTCTTCTTGATGAAGATTCGCCATTGCTGCCGACATTTCATCAAGTGTCTTTTGGTATTCCCCGATCTCCATCTCCATCTTGTTTTTTTCTTTAATCGCGGCGCGAAACTCTGCACTGGTGGGTGATTTAGACCTCCCACCTTTTGATGTTGACCTCACGCCCTTCTGCGACGTCCGTGGTGTCGCAGGTGAAGATGATGATCTTCTCGGCGGGGATTCTCTTTGCTTCGACTCCTGATGAACATCGATCTGCTTCCATGATCTTGTGGGAGTGGATATGTCGCTGAATAGCGCGGATCCTCCGCTCCCAGGTTCATCCTGTGAACCTGCAATCAAATCCATCACCGCAGGAAGAGCCATCAATCCATTGGATCCCTCTGAGCTGCTGTTCCCAAAAGTTGCAGTACTTGGGCTCGCTGAAGATGCCATTGTACCGTGTAGGTTATTGTCCCTGTATTGTCCCTGTACCCGCAATAAACCAGCTGTCTCTCTGTCCAGTGTAGAGCTTGTCGTTACGGCTGATAACCTGTCAAGAGACGGCAAGGTGACGTCCCGTGGGACGCTGTCCACCGAACCCTCCAGCTGTAAATACCAACCACGTAGAAAGGTGTATATGGTCAAACCGTTATAGCCGAACCCGTGTAACTGTTGTAAGGGAGAAGGAATAATAGTTACAACAGTGGTCCTGACAAATGCAGCGCAAGCGAAGTGTTTTCCGCTCTCAATTGCCGATCACGTATGAACGCAGCTTCACATAAGATCTTGAACCTCACTTGTCACTTGAGCCAAATGGCAATCAATGGAACCTTGTAAGCAACACAAACACGGACCTCAGAACTGCTTCCAATTTAGGCACGGGGCCAGGAGGGTTTTAACACTGTGTGTCTCTGTGTGTCTCTCTGTGTGTCTCTCTGTGTGTTTTTCTGTGTGTCTCTGTGTGTGTGTCTCTGTGTGTGTCTCTGTGTGTGTGTCTCTGTGCGTGTCTCTGTGTGTGTCTCTGTGTGTGTCTCTGTGTGTGTCTCTGTGTGTGTGTCTATGTGTGTGTCTGTGTGTGTCTGTGTGTGTGTCTGTGTGTGTGTCTGTGTGTGTGTCTGTGTGTGTGTGTGTCTGTGTGTGTGTGTGTGTTTGTGTGTGTGTGTCTGTGTGTGTGTCTGTGTGTGTGTCTGTGTGTGTGTGTCTGTGTGTGTGTGTGTCTGTGTGTGTGTGTGTCTCTGTTTGTGTGTGTTTGTGTGTGTGTTTGTGTGTGTTTGTGTGTGTTTGTGTGTGTTTGTGTGTGTGTGTGTGTTTGTGTGTGTGTGTGTGTTTGTGTTTGTGTTTGTGGTTGTGGTTGTGTTTGTGTTTGTGTTTGTCTGTGTGTGTTTGTGTGTGTCTGTGTGTGTGTCTGTGTGTGTGTGTCTGTGTGTGTCTGTGTGTGTCTGTGTGTGTGTGTGTCTGTGTGTGTCTGTGTGTGTCTGTGTGTGTCTGTTTGTGTGTGTCTCTGTGTGTCTCTGTGTGTCTGTGTGTGTCTGTGTGTCGGTGTGTGTCTGTGTGTGTCTGCGTGCTTGTCCGTGTGTGTGTGTCTGTGTTTGTGTCTGTGTTTGTCTGTGTGTCCGTGTCTGTGTTTGTGTCTGTGTCTGCTTGTGTGTGTGGTGTGTGTCTGTGTGTGTGTTTGTGTTTGTGTGTGTCTGTCTGTCTGTCTGTCTGTCTGCGTGTCTGAGTGTACGTCTGTGTGTGTGTGTTTGGTTGTGTGTGTGTGTGTGTATTTGTGTCTCTGCTTTGTGTGTTTGTGTGTGTGTGTGTTTGTGTGTGTGTGTGCGTGTGTCTGTCTGTGCGTGCGTGTGTGTCTGTCTGTCTGTCTGTCTGTCTGTCTGTCTGTCTGTCTGTCTGTCTGTCTGTCTGTCTGTCTGTCTGTCTGTCTGTCTGTCTGTCTGTGTGTGTCTGAGTGTACGTCTGTGTGTGTGTGGCTGTATGGGTGTGTGTGTGTATTTGTGTCTCTGCTTTGTGTGTTTGTGTGTGTGTTTGTGTGTGTGTGTGTGTTTGTGTTTGTGCGTGTGTCTGTCTGTGCATGCGTGTGTGTGTGTGTGGCTGTGTGTGTGTGGCTGTATGGGTGTGTGGGTGTGTGTACGTGCGTGTGCGTGCGCGTGCGCGTTCGCGTGCGCGTGCGCGCTTGTGCGTGCGCGTGTGCGTGCGCGTGAGCGTGTGCGTGTGTCTGTGTGTGGGTGTGCGTGTGTCTGTGTTTGTGTTTGTGTCTGTGTGTGTATGTGTGTGTTTGTGTTTGTGTTTGTGTTTGTGTTTGTGGGTGTGTTTGTGTGCCTGTGTGTCTGCGTGCATGTGTTTGGGTGTGTGCGTGTGTGGGTTTGTGTGTGTGTATTCGTGCAGTCATGCACAACATGTTGTGTTGTGTGTGCCGTCGGCAGCGCTTGATTAGTTGAGGAAGAGCTTTGGGTGGAGCGGTGGATGTGGATTGAGTGCTTGCAGTGTTTTGGGCTTGGGCTGTTCCATATCGAAATGGTGCTGTTCATCATGATTGTTTGGCGCAAAGTACCTCATTGCTGGTGAACCAGTTTGGACAGACTCGCTGCAAGGCACAACCACTTGCAGCGTTTTGCGCATGTAAGGACGGTGGAATTGCTGGCACAATCGGAGCCGATGGTTCTGCTGGCTCTTTTCATGTTCGACCCTTTGAGAGCTTGGTGCAAACAGCCGATCCCAAAGATGGACCTGGAAATCCTGCGTGGCTCTCGGGGCAGTGGGCAAAGCTGCACCATGAATGGAATTCGATTGGCATTCTTCGTCTCCGCGGATCACCCGCACTTGAGGATGACAATGTTGTACATGTGTTGGATCTTAACAAAGGCCAAGTTGCTCGCGAGCAACTGCGGCTTCGAGTGTGTTTTGACAATGGGCCACTTCAAGGCTTGAGCCAGAAGGCCGAGCCATTCAAGGAGAGTTTCTGGCACTTGGCTCCTGGAGAAGTTGCTCGTCTCGGTGGACCTGACGTGGATGGGTTTGTGGTTGCGACGTTTGAGGGTCTGCAAACTCTCGTCTTGGATCAGCCGATCCAATTCAGCTTGGCTCCGACCCTTGAAGTCCTTTGTAGTCCTGAAGTCACTGAAGAACGCGAGAGTGATGCTCGGCAACTTCCAAACGAGGCCGAGAAGACGGAGCGTGCCACCCTGCCGCTCAACATGCCACTTCGGTTCGGACCTCCCAGTTTGTTTCCACACGCGCTGCGCGGTTGTTGGATACGAGGCGGTATGACCATCACTATTAGTGATGGGTTCGTATGTCAAGAAGGTGATGACAAGGAGGACAGGTTTCCTTTACAAGTGTTTCCAGAGATATCATACAATCGCTGGGGCGGATGGCTTCTCAATCTGGCTCGAAGCAATGCCTTGGTGCTCGAGTGGACAACGAAGATGAATGCTGGCAGCCTTTTGGAGCACAAAGTTATTCGGTGGTGGCGACCTTGGGTGTTTAAGGGAATGATAGAAGTGCTTGAGGCTGGGAGCAAAGAGGTCAATGGATTTTATGCTCCAGATTTCACTGGAAGTAGCATCAAATATGCGAGTCTTGAGCCTGCCGGTCAGAATTATATTGAACAACGCAATGATGGAAGTTGGGCAATTAGCTGCAAATATGAGCAAAGTCCCAGTGAGGGTTGCAAAGTGTATTACACACAACAGTGTGCAGAAGTTGACATTGGTCAGTGGGATTCGGAAGGTGTTTCTAGTGTTGCCAGCCTGCCAGCACCCATCATTCGCAAGTGGCTCGGAGGGGAAAGGCAGAAGCATCAAGCAGCCTTTCGTGTGAATTCTGGGCTGCAGATCGATGAAATCTCCAGCAACGTGCTGCCTCGTCACTTGTGCCGTTTGCCGAGCGAGCAAATTCGGGGGTAATCTCCCGGATTGCAAGCTATTTGCGTCACTCTCTATTCAACAAAACATGCGCCAGAGCGAGCAAATTCGGGGTAGCGCCATGATTTCCGAAGGTATTATTGAGCAGTTCTGCGGAGATGCGATTGTGATAATTGAAACTGATGGTATGGCGGGGTTGCGAAGCTTTCTCGGTGGCGCTGCCGAAGTTGCAGCAGTGAGTGCTTCAGACTCTATGCCGATCATTTTGCCAGCAGGCCAGCTGCCTGCAAGCCTTTGCGCGTGCATCAGGCTCACAAGTGCCCAGCTGAACCAGCCTACATCAACAGCTGTGGCCCAAGAAGAGTTGCAAGACAAGATGAGGCAGGCAGTTATGGACCTGAGGGCGCAAGGAGCTGTCAGCATTGCTGTGCGAAAAATTGCAGAGACTGTGGATCTGACAAGTTTGACCCCTGAGCTTATCGTCTCGACAACCATGAAATCAATTCTTGACGGAAATGGCAAAGTCAAGAAGCCCGAGCTGCAGAGCCAAGGCCTTGAGATACACTTCTTGGTTGCAGCCGCAGATGTGCCACGCTGTCGCGGTGCTTTGGAGGCTACAGTTGCGAAATGGAGTTGCCTGGCGGCAAGTGGATGCCCATGCACTGATGTTTAGGTTGCAGTTTTGTAGCCCCTTGCCCAAGTAGGTTTGCTTTGCACATACTCAATTGCTGGCGATTGGAACGGGACATTAGCACGAGGGATCAGCAATGCCTCCAATGGAGATTCAAATGCAGGAACAAATTGAGTCTGCGAAAGCATTATGAAAGGCTGCCGATTTGTTGAATGTCAGCCATCCCAAGTAACATAGAGCCGGCGCACCCGGTGTTCGGAAGTTTCTAGGTGTATAATAGCTATAGTTATTGTCCTTTTATCTGTTCTTTGTTCTGTTTTCTCGTTATCTTTATCTTGTCTTTCTCTTTCTCTCTCCCTCTTTCTCTTTCTTCTATCTTTCTTGTCTAATTTCTTTATCTTTATCTTTCTCTTGCTCGGTCTCTTTATCTTTCTCTTTCTGATGATTTTCTCCTTTATTTATCTTTATACTTCTCTTTTATTTTCTCTTTGTATTTTTCTTTATCATTATCGTTATCTTTCTCTACCTCTTTGTTTTCTCTTTCTTTCTCTTTCTCATTATGTTTATCTGTCTCTGTTATATTCCTCTTTCTGATTATGTTCTCTTTTATTTTTCTTTTTATTTATGTGTTATGTTCTCTTTATCTGCCTCTTTCTTTTTTCATTTGTTCCTCTTTATGTTTCTATTGTTTTTTCTTTGTTCTCTATGTTTATCTTTCCTTTATCTCTCTCCCTCTCTCTCTCTTTCTTTCTATGTAACTTTCTCTTTCGCCTTAACTTTGTCTTTCTATTCCTTTGTTCCTTCTGTCTCTCTCTCTTTCTTTGTATCTATGTGTTTGTCTTTTCTTTCTCTGTCTGTCTATTGCTCGGTCTCTTTCTTTTTTATATTCATTTTCTGAAATTTATTTTTCTATGTTCTCTCTCTTTCTCTTCCTTTTATCTTTCTCATTATCTTATCTTTTCTTTCTCATTTCTTTCTCTTTATCTTGTCTGTTCGCCTCTTTCTTTTGCCTTTCTCTTTCTCGTTTTTCCCTGTTCTTTATCTTTCTCATTCCTCTTTCGTCTCTTTTTTCTTGCTCTTTTCTGTCTCATTCGCTTTCTCGTTCTCTGCTTCTTTATTTTTATCTTTTGTCTTTTCTCTTTCTTTTACATCTCGCTTTCTCTTCTCTTTTGCCTCACTGCGCTTGGCTCAGCTTTGCGTTTTTGGCATGTTTTCTCTCTCTCTCTCTTTCTTTCTCTTTCTTTCCTTTTCTTGTGTTTCTCTATTATTTCTCTCTTTTTGTTTTATCTTTTATTTCTCTTTCTTTTCTCTGTTATTTCTCTTTCTATTCTCGTTCCTCGTTATTTTTCTCTTTCTTTTTACCCGGTGTCCCGGTGCCCCGCCCTCGCGCCTTTTTCTCCTTTTTTGCTCGGTTGCCTCCTGCTGTTTGGCGAGCCGCCTGTGACGGCAAGCCCGCAGCACCACGGAGTCGTCAAGCGTACTTTGGGTCGGCCGCCAATGACGGCAAGCCGAAGGCGACTAGTCTGACGAAGGCTCACCGCAGGCACAAGAAATATCTTCATGCAGCTTCCGCACCTGCGCGCGCCTCCCCAGAAAGTACCTCGTGAGCCTACGGCCACGGCATGCGAGCGCTTTTCTCCAGTGCTCAAAGTGTATCATTCTCAGAAAGCTTTCCAAGACTCGAAGCGCGGCGCGAGGTGTCGGCCACTGGGCAAGGTACCGGCCACTGGTGAACTGAATGTGGCCGAACTGAGCCGACCTCAAAACTCACACATGAACTCACACGTTTACAAGGAAGGTCCTTCCTGCGATGACAACTGCGGCTGTGACGCCAAGCCTTGTCAGTTCCCAGTTACAAAGACTCGACAGCATCAACACCAAAGTAAACTAGAGTACGCTTTGGCCAAACGTAAATCATCCAACGGCAAAGCTATCTAAACTGTTTGGGGTCCCATGGATGGCCGGTTGTGACGCCAAGCCGCGCTTTCTCTGTCTCTTTATCCCTCTCTTTCTATTTCTCTTTCTCTTTCTCTCTCTTTCTCTTGTCTTTCTCTTTCTCCGTCTCTCTCTCTCTCTGTTAATATTTCTTTGATCTTCTCTTTCTCGTTCTCTTTCTCCTACCCTTTCTCTTTACATTAATCTTAGTATTTGTCTTTCTCATCCTCTTCATTTTCTACTTTTATGTTTATCTCTCTCGTCTCTTGATGTTTATCTCTCTTTTCTCTTTTATTATTTCCTTATATCTATCTTTCGCTTCTTTCTCTTTGTCTTTATCTTTCTTATCTTTTGTTATATTTTATCTTTCTCTTTCTGTTTCTTTCTCTCTCTCTCTCTCTCTTTCTTTCCTTTGTCTTTTCTTGCTCTTTCTTTTCTCTTTTACTTGTCTCTCTCTTTCTTTCTTTCCTTTGTCTTTTCTTGCTCTTTCTTTTCTCTTTTCTTTCTCTTTCTCGTTCTCTTTCTCTGTATTGTCCTCTTTCTCTTTCTGTTCTTTCTCTTTCTCTTGTCTTTCTCTTGCTCTTTTCTCTCTGCTTCTTTCATTTATCATGTTTCAGCTTTATCTTTCTAGGTCTGTTTCTCTTTCATGGTCTTTTTATATCTGTCTCTCTCTGTCTTGTCTCTTTCTCTTTCTTTTCTTGATTTCCTTATCTTTCTCTTTATTTTCTTTCTCCCTCTCTTTCGAAGGATTACGAAAGGATTACCAGTAGAGCCGACAGAGCCGGTGGGCGAAAGTGTCTAAAGCGAGAAAAGTGCCTATAGGAAGAGCTTGACTTGTTGTTGTTTTTGGTTTCTTTGTCTCTTTCTTTCTTTTTCTTTCTTTCCTTCCTTCCTCCCTTCCTTCCTTCCTTCCTTTTCTTTCTCCTCTTCCCGAAGAGGGCATCCTTGGCCCCCCACACACTGCTCACAAAAGACCATCCCAAACAAACAGAAGGTCAAAACCGGGGAGTTTAAAACAGGGACCGCCCTACCGTAAGAGTTTACCTTTTTCTTTCTTTCTTTCTTTCTTTCCTTCCTTCTTTCCTTCCTTCCTTCCTTCCTTTTCTTTCTCCTCTTCCCGAAGAGGGCATCCTTGGCCCCCCACACACTGCTCACAAAAGACCATCCCAAACAAACAGAAGGTCAAAACCGGGGAGTTTAAAACAGGGACCGCCCTACCGTAAGAGTTTACCTTTTTCTTTCTTTCTTTCTTTCTTTCCTTCCTTCTTTCCTTCTTTCCTTCTTTCCTTCTTTCCTTCTTTCCTTCTTTCTTTCCTTCTTGATTTCTTTCTTTCTCTCTCTCTCTCTGTCTCTCTCTCTCTCTCTCTTTCTCCCTTTCTCTTTTTCTTTCTTTCTTTCTTTCTTTCTTTCTTTCTTTCTTTCTTTCTGTTTTTCTCTTTCTCTCTTTCTGTTTCTCTCTCTCTCTTTCTTTTTTTTTCTTTCTTTCTTTCTTTCTTTCTTTCCTTCTGTCCTTCTTTCCTTCTTTCCTTCTTTCCTTCTTTCCTTCTTTCCTTCTTTCCTTCTTTCTCTCTCTGTCTCTCTCTCTCTCTCTTTCTTTCTTTCTTTTTCTCTCTCTCTCTCTCTCTCTGTTTCTCTCTCTCTCTCTTTCTTTTTTTTCTTTCTTTCTTTCTTTATTTCTTTCTTTTTTTCTTTCTTTCGTTCTTTCTTTCTTTTTTTGTTTCTTTCTTTCTTTCTGTCTCTCGCTCTCTCTCTCTCCCCCTCTCTGTCTCTCTCTCTCTCTCTCTCTTTCTGTCTTTGTTTCTTTACTTCTGTCTTTCTTTCTTTAATTATTCCTTTCTTTCTTTATTTCCTTCTTTCTTTCTCTCGTTCTTTCTTTCGTGCTTTCTTTATGTTTCTTCCTTGCTCTTTCTCTTTCTTTCTATCTTACTTTCTTTCTATCTAGCTATCTATCTGCACTTTCTCTTTTCTCTCTCTGTCTCTCTCTCTTTTTCTTTCTTTCTTTCTTTCTTTCTTTCTTTTTCTCTGTCTCTCTCTCTGTCTCTCTCTCTCTCTCTCTTTCTCTCTTTCTCTTTTTCTTTCTTTCTTTCTTTCTTTCTTTCCTTCCTTCTTTCCTTCTTTCCTTCTTTCCTTCTTTCCTTCTTTCCTTCTTTCCTTCTTTCCTTCTTTCCTTCTTTCCTTCTTTCCTTCTTTCTTTCTCTCTTTCTTTCTTTCGTGCTTTCTTTATGTTTCTTCCTTGCTCTTTCTCTTTCTTTCTATCTTACTTTCTTTCTATCTAGCTATCTATCTGCACTTTCTCTTTCTCTTTGTCTCTCTCTCTCTCTTTCTCTCTTTCTCTTTTCCTTTCTTTCTTTCTTTCTTTCTTTCTTTCTTTCTTTCTTTCTTTCTTTCTTTCTTTCTTTCTTTCTTTCTTTCTTTCTTTCTTTCTTTCTTTTTCTCTCTCTCTCTCTCTGTCTCTCTCTCTCTCTCTTTCTCTCTTTCTCTTTTTCTTTCTTTCTTTCGTTCTTTCTTTCCTTCCTTCTTTCCTTCTTTCCTTCTTTCCTTCTTTCCTTCTTTCCTTCTTTCTTTCCTTCTTTCTTTCTTTCTTTCTGTTTTTCTCTCTCTCTCTCTCTGTTTCTCTCTCTCTCTCTTTCTTTTTTTCTTTCTTTCTTTCCTTTCCTTCTTTCCTTCTTTCTTTCCGTCTTGATTTCTTTCTTTCTCTCTCTCTCTCTCTGTCTCTCTCTCTCTCTCTCTTTCTCTCTTTCTCTTTTTCTCTCTTTCTCTTTTTTCTTTTTTTCTTTCTTTCTTTCTTTCTGTTTTTTTTTCTCTCTCTCTCTCTCTCTCTCTCTCTCTGTTTCTCTCTCTCTCTCTCTCTCTTTCTTTTTTCTTTCTTTCTTTTTTTCTTTATTTTGTTCTTTCTTTCTTTTTTTGTTTCTTTCTTTCTTTCTGTCTCTATCTTTCTCTCCCTCTCTGTCTCTCTCTCTCTCTTTCTGTCTTGTTTCTTTACTTCTGTCTTTCTTTCTTTTTTTGTTTCTTTCTTTCTTTATTTCCTTCTTTCTTTCTCTCTTTCTTTCGTGCTTTCGTTATGTT